CCTGAGGTCACCATTCCCTTTCTTCCACATCTTAATTTGTTTATATCCTTGAACATAGGACTAGACTCTATTCTGCTCCCTCCTCGAATTGTACATTTTATATTTTTCCTTTCTCAGTTTGTTTCTTTTCATTACAGCTCTGCGTAAGAGTGACCACTAATAACCATACGACAGAGTCAATACTAGGCTGTTTTGAGATTTCCTTTGCCAAAGGAGTTAATCCAAAGCGCTTCATTTAAGCCTCAGGCAGACTTTTTGGCCAAGAGCAAAAAGCAGTCACATTTTTCATCAAAATATCACAGGAATAATCTCTAGGCAACATACTAAAATTCTTCTCCTCTGAAACCTCTTGAGCCAGACCCCACAGTTCAAATCACTCCTAGCACTGCTGCCTTCCATGCTCCTATCAGCATGGCCCATTAGAAAAGCACTCAACTGCTTTCCTAATCCAAAGATTCAAAGTCCACATTCCTCCAAATAAAAGCACTGGCTGGCCTATCACAACAATGTCGTAGCCCCGGGTACCAACTTCTGTCTTAATTAGGGTTTCTATCGCTGTGAAAAGACACCATGACCATGGAGAAGGAGCTGAGAGTCTTGATCCACAGGCAGCAGCAGGGGTCTGTGAAAGTGAGCATAGCCTGAGAACATCTGAGACCTCAAAGCCCACCCCCACAGTGACACACTTCTTCCAACGAGGCCACACCTCCTAATAGTGCCACCCTCTATGGGAACCATTTTTTTTTTTCAAACCATCACAATTTTGCTGTGCTTTGTTTTGCCTTTGGAGCTCTTTCCTGCACCGCCTAGCTCTGGTGTTAGTGGGTTTGTTATGCATTAATGTTTTCCAGATTGCTTATTAGGGACCCGTTGTGTTTCGTTTCTATTAGCTGCAGATTGATAATAAAATTTTTTGGCCAGGCTGGTGGTGGCACACGCCTTTAATCCCAGCACTCGGGAGGCAGAGGCCAGTGAATCCCTGTGAGTTTGAGGCCAACCTGGTCTACAAGAGCTAGTTCCAGGACAGTTAGGACTGTTACACAGGGAAACCCTGTCTCAAAATATATATATAATATAAATATATATATATATATGTTGTATAAATATGTTAATTGAAAGGCGTATGTGATCTTTGAATTGAACAATGAGTAACTGTAAATAATTCTTCCCTGAGAGCTATGGTGAATCATGTGAGAACAGCAGAAAGTGAGAGCCAGCCAGGTCGTTTCCTAAAGAATGACCAGAGAAACAACCAGAAGAATGAGAGTGAACAAGGGCCAGGGAAGGAGGGGCAGTGAGTACTGATAAGAAATTTGGAAGGAAGGGAACAGGAAGAGCCTATGAAGACAAGAGAGAAGCCAGGCATGGAGTGCATTCCTCTAAAGCTAGCCCGGAGAAGGTAAAGGCGGGAAGAGCGGAAATTAAAAGCTACCCTCAGCTACACAGTGAGTTCGAGAAAAGTATGGACTACGTGGGAACTTCTCTCAAAAAGAAATGGGGGGGGAGAGAGAGAGAAGAAAGTAGAGGAGAAAATTGGTACTATAGACAATTGCTCCGATCATTTAGTAAAAGCACCAAAGGGGCAGCTGAAGAGATGACTCAGCAGTTAAGCACACTGGCTGCTCTTCCAGACGATCTGGATTCAACTCCTAGCACCACGTGGCAGCTCACAACCATCTGTGACTCCAGTCCCAGGGTATCCAACACCCTTCTCTGGCCTCTGCAGACATCAGGCATGCATATGGTACACGGAACAGTCATGCAAGCAAGACATCCAGACATATAAAATTCGAATTTTAGAAACCTCAACGTTAAACGCGACTTAGCTGGCTAGGAAAACTTAAGTAAGGCTTTTTCCTCTGATGTCAAGGGGAGTCCAAACGCAGTGCAATGAGAACCAACGAGAAAGACAGACAAACACACGGAGCCTCGTGGATCCTGGGCAGATCCAGCTGGGTAACCACAGCAACAGCAATGGCAATTAGCAAGTTTCCACTCGGCAAAGCCCTCTCCATGTGACGGAACCCATGTCTGACACTGCTAGCGTGGCCAAGAACCTGAGACTAGGTAGGTCATGGGCCTAGCGGAAAACTACTATCTTTCTACTAAAGGGACACAGAAATGAAGTGACTCCTAATGACACATTGCTCCATGCCTGCCCAACCCTCGTCAGAGAAGCTTCTTATAGTGGATGGCAATCAACACAGAGACATAGACAGCAGGCACAGAGAGTGAGATTTGGGAACACTCAGCCCCAAACGAGGAAGTTCACTTCCTGAGTGCCCGTCCATGATGGCTGTTGAATGGGAACCTCAGATTCTCTCCAAGTGAGTCTTAAGACTGCTTTAGAGACTGGCTTCTCCAAGGTGACTGATCCAAGAGACTGCGCAGAAACTGCAGGGTTTGGCCGCCTGGGCTCAGCTGGGGCACACCTTTGCCCTCACCATGGCAGTTTGGCGTTGGGCTCAGCTCTGATTCAGTGTGAGAATGTCACAGGGTGTGGGTTGGAGGGATGGGGATTTCCGGAGGTCATCTTTGAAGACAGCTACTACAAAGATAAAAGGACGTTCTATGCACACCCTAGGGGCTTCCCGGGGGAACGGAAGTAGGAGGGGCACTCTGCACTCCTGATCCATGGAACAGCAGGTGTAACCGTAGTGCTATGAGCAGGTCTCTGCCAGTTTGGTTAAGGGCATTGATTATGGGTAGAGGTGCAAGCCTGGGAAATGCTGATGGACACTGTAGGCCGCCTTGCACGTTTGAAAAAGGAGCACAAAGTTTACATCGCTGTAAATGGGATTACACGCGCTTGCTCGGCAACACGCAGACAGATAAAAACCCTAAAATGTCACAATGGAAGGCCTTCTCAAGGCTAACATTTCCTCAAGAGACGGCTGCGTCCTGAAGCTGGACCCTTTGCGGGGTGACGCAATGACGGAAGCACACGTGTTCAGCGTCATGTGTTAGGAAGGCAGCACCAGAAATAGCGCGGCAGCCAGGTGGGAGAAGGAATGAATAGCTGGGAATGTCAAAGCAACATTTGAGTTTATTTCAAGGACTGGGCATCCTATAGGCTGATATAGAAGAGGAGAGATGCGAACATCCTCCAATAACTCGATGAGTAAGACAGGCTTTTGCGTTCATAACGGAGCCATATTTTTTTAGTTTATGGGGGGTTGGAATAGCTTACTTGTAAACGACGGGATGACTTCAGTTATATGAGCTGTTTTACGTCTTCCTATTCACGGTGTCGCCTTTTCCAACCACGAGCTCATTTGCTACTCCCTTCAGTAACACTTTCTCTTTTCTCTCTCTCTCTCTCTCTCTCTCTCTCTCTCTCTCTCTCTCTCTCTCTCTCTGTTTTTATTGAGCTACACATTTTTCAGTCACACTTTCCAAACCCACTCCCTTCTGAAGCCTTCCCGACACTGCTCTCGTAACATCAGACCGCGTCACCGGCACACGGATGGGAACTGTTGGTGCCATGTCGCGTCATGCTAATAAATAGTGCGCCCTGTCTTAAACCATTTCTTGAAACTGTGGTGGCATTTCCTCAGGTTGAGGTTCTAAATGCCCCATCATCCCACCCCAGAAAACCCAAGCATGGCCCTTAGCAGCAGGCAACACAAGGTAGAGCCGGAGAAAGAGTAGGGGACCATAGGATGCCATACGATTCTTAAGCAGCAGATGGCTCCTCAGACCCCCAGAAAGGCTGTTTATGAGGGAGGGTGAATTCTGGGTCCCCTTGATGCTGAAGGGAGCTTGCGCATGAAAGGCCCTTGGAGCCTGCACCTAGCAGAGCCACCAAGGGCTCAGACACGAGGGAGAGCTGTGGGCTTAGTCAGAAACGTGGTGTTTCTTCTGTCATTCCTGAAAGGGTGGTGAGATTGTAATCTCAGCTGGAAAGAATCTTGATGTTTTGTTTAATTGGGGGTCTTATTTTCTCACTAGTTTTTAATATTGAGATCAGAGTTGAAATAAAAATACTTTAACTGAGATCTTGATTAAGTATATAAAAAAAAGACAAGACAGCTTGGCTAATCTAATTTGGTAACGTCTGCTGTTGGTAGCAACTTACCTGATGTGGGAGGCTATCAAATCCTGAATCAGTAATAAAATGGTTCACAAGCAATCTTGTTTTTTCCACTATAATAATGTTTTTGAAGAATGAGAAGAATTTACAGATAAATCTTCACAACTTGAAGAGTGCGTGTTTTTACAAGATTTCTGCACAGGGGAGCATTGTCCCAAGCATGCTGCCCAGTTCCTCTTTTCAAGAAGATCATCAATCATTTTTTTTCCAAGCCCCATAGAAAGGCTATTCTCAGAGTGTTGCTGCCATCTAGTGGACAATAGGAATAAGTACAGCTTACGGCTAATGCTCTCCACCCTCTCTACTTGCGTCACTGCTACCTTTTTTCTCTCTTATCTGTTCCTTCCTTTTTGCTCTAACACATGTAAAACAAAAACGGAAAATATTTTTATCAGTCATTGGAAGTTTCTTTGAAATCTGGAATCTTGGTAGTTTCTCAAAAATCTAACAATATTTCTCGCTAGCCAAAAACTTGTTAGAAACACATATGAGTCTGGACGGTGTAGGCGTACACCTTTAATCCCAGCACTCAGAGGCAGGTGGATTTCTGTGAGTTCGAGGCCAGCCTGGTCTACAGAGCGAGTTCCAGGACAGCCAGGACTACACAGAGAAACCCTCACTCAAAAAACAGAAACACATAGAAGAGGAATTCAGAATGAAAGTGTTTTTGTACAACAAAATGAAAATGAGAAAAATAAAATGTGCTTATTTTTGCAAAGAGAAAATGCAAGAAATTTATGCAGAAACTAATGGGATTGGTGACTTTCAGGAAAAGGGTGCATAGTGTGCAATGCAGGCAAACGACAGACTTACTTGAACATACAGTTACTTTTAATCCATTTTAATCAAAATAGAATTGCATCACCTCCCTCTTTCCCTTGCCTCCCTCCAATCCCTCCCATGCCCCCTCCTTGTCCTTTCCCTCACTCTCAAATGGATAGCCTCTTTTCCTTTGATTATTATGGATGTGTGGAGTGTGTGTGTGTGTGTGTGTGTGTGTGTGTGTGTGTGCATGCGTACATATATGCAAAATATATAAGTAAGTCCATGTTTGTTGTTTGGGTGGATGAGATTTCAGGACTGACTTCCTTGCATTGGGTAACCACTTATGGGACCCATCCCAGGGAGAGGCTAATTCTCCCTCTCTTAGCAATTATTGTCTGTAGTTCTTTGCCTAGGGGTGGAGCTCCATGAGCTTTCTCCCTTCTGCATTAGCACATCTGCGAATATCGCCATTGTTCTGGTCTCTGCGCAGCCCTTTCTAGGGAAGACAGTCTCACAGCAGACTCCCTGGTATTCTGGCTCTTACAATCGTCCCACCACCTCTTCCTCCGCATTCCCTGAACCATAGATGCAGGAGACGCTGCGGATGTTTCCACCGGTGCCAGGAGTCATTGTGGTTTTCTGTGATGTCTCCATTTGCAGCAAAGAGAAGCTTCTCTGGTGGTGGGTGGTAGCTGTGCTCATCTGTGGAATAAGGAAAAGATTTGGAATATAGTTAGAAATTTTCTGGTTTAGTAAACCGGTGGTACCAGCTTCTCTTCTAAGGTCCATGATCCCATTAGCCCCAGGAAGCTGGCTATGGAAACTAGGCCACAGGAAGGAGGCTTTCGGTTTAGATCCAGTTCAAATGATGCTAGTCCTGTCCTAAGTGTGTAGTGTCTTCAGCATTAGGGACTCACTCTCAACCCCGAGAGGTCTCGTTGATAATCTGTATTGTTTCGGGAGTCACTTGCACTACTGAGCTCCTCTTAAAGAAGGTACTGGGGGTTGTGTTAGTCTATGGTTCTTGCAGTGAGCATTGTCCGCCCAAGTAGCATAACTTCATTTAATATATGTAATTTTAGGCGACTATAGAATGATATGGTTCCTTGAGGCTTTATCAAGCAACCGTAGTGTAGAATCTGTCACTCTTCCCTCTCCCTCTGTAGTGACCTCCCTCCCCACCCCAGTTGGCGCCCACTTCCTGTTTTGCCAGTTCCTCCTACATGTCACCTGTATTCTGTCAGTCCCGTCGAAACGCCCACAGGCTCCCTTGCCACCTTCCTGGTCTCTGTGATTGCTCCATATTTCATTCACATCTGAGGCCTTGGAGCCAGGAACCACAAACCAGAGGGAGCATGTGCTGTTTGTCTTTCTGGGTCAATATAACCTTTCGAGATCCACCCATTTACCTGAAAATTTCATGATTTCATTTTTCCTTAGAGCTGAATAGTATTCCTGTGTGTGTGTGTGTGTGTGTGTGTGTGTGTGTGTGTGTGTGTGTGCGCGCGCACATGCGTGCATTTTCAGTGTCCATTAATCTGCTGAGGACATTTAGATTGTTTCCATTCTCTAGCTATCATTCACAGGGCAGCAATGACCATAGCTGAGCAAGAGTTTATGGGGTCAGATGGCGAGTACTTTAGGCACGCCCGGGAGTCATCTAGCTGAGTCAGATGATAGATTTATTTTTTTGTCTTTTGAGGGTTCTCCATACTGATTTCCAGAGTGGGTACACCAGTTGTGTTTTATCACACAGTGGGTGAGGGGAACTCCTTTCCCCCGGCCTCATCAGCTTTATTTTTTATTTTCTTTTGAGCTCTTAATTTAGATTCTTAGCCTATTTATATCTTTAATTGTTTCTTTTCTTTGAGATTATAATATAATTGTATCATTTCCTCCTTTCTTTTTCTCCCTCCAAAGCCTCCCGTACATTTCTCCTAGCTCTCTTTTAAATCCATGGCCTCTTTGTCATTAATTGTTGTTATATGAATATGATATATATATACATACATACATACATATGCATACATATTCCTGATTACATAAATACAACCTGCTCAGTATGTACAATGTTACTCATATCTATGTTTTCAGAGCTAAACATTTGAATAGCTAATTGGTGTGCTCTTCCCTGGGGAAAACTGGTTTTCCTGTTATCTGCATTCTTTAGTTGCCTGTAGTTCTTTTCATAAGACTGAGGCCTCTGGTCTTCCCTCCCAGCTACATTAGCGTGTCTATTGTTGTCCTTGTCCAGCTCATGTTTGGGCAGTCCTGTAGATTAGATTTTTGGGGAGTTGGTTTAGTAAAGTGGTGGTTGTAGGTTCTCCTCTGAGATCTATGAATTCACTAGTCCTGGGTAGTGGCTAGGATTCCAGTACCAGAAATGATTTTCCTCCTGTGGAGCAGGCCTTAAGTTCAACTAGAGAGCCATTGGTTACTGCCAAGACATTTATGCCACTATTGCACCCTTAGGGTTACTGTGCCATGCTGGGAGTTGATGTGGTTCATAGGTATCGGCCTTAGTTAGGGTCTCTATTACTGCAATGAAACACCATGACCAAATAGCAAGTTGAAAAGGAAAAGGTTTATTTGGCTTACACTTCTATATTGCTGTTCATCACTAAAGGAAGTCAGGACCGGAACTCAAACAGGGCAGGATCCTAGAGGCAAGAACTGATGTAGAGACAATGGATGGAGGGGTGCTACATACTGACTTGCTCAGAGTGCTTTCTTATGGAACCCAGGACAACCAGCCCAGGAATGACATTAATTAAGTGATCTGTGGGGAGAGTCCTTAGAGCTGAATCTTGTGGAGACATTTCCTCAGCTGAAGCTCCTTCTTCTCCAATGACTCTAGCTTACGTCAAGTTGGCACACAAAACCAGCCAGTACAGCATCATAGCTCGTTAAGACTGTTGGTTGCTTTTCTCCTTTGGAAGCTTGCTTGGTGCTTTCTGGTACCACGAAAGCTAGTACTTGGGGAGGAGACATTCAGCCCAGTTCCAGCTCAGGAAGCTCTGGGTCTTGTGTCTGAAGTTGATCGTGTCTTCAATGAAAGGAACTTAGCTCCCACCTCTGGGAGACAAACAAGGACAACAGTGATGGCATGCAATATTTTGGGAGTCTCTTGAGTAACTCTGACAAACAACTCAAAGCATGGCTTCTCATGCCTGATGCTGGGGTCTTTGTTAAATGATCTTTGGCTCTTGGAGGGAGCATTGTCAGTCCAGGTGAGATTTCATTGAAACTGTACATGTATATTTATATACAAGCTTACATGTATTATAGGCTTTTTAGGTAGATGGTAATAGTATGGTTCCTTAAGACCTTTGTAAACATCCTTACTGATGTTTTACGTTCCCCGCCCCTTCTTCTGTATTTATCTCAATGTGCAGGGAATAAAGGGGCTGTGGAATGCTCAGCCCTAAGTGGGATGTTCATGCCACACCTCTTCCCACAAGAAAAGGGGGAAGGAAAAACAGTAAGATCCAGAGGTGGTGGGTAAGTTCAAGGAAGCAGTGTTCTCCAGACATAGCAGGGCAGTTACACATATGAACTCATAGTGAGAGAGACAGTGTGCAAGTGACGGGCACAGGCTCAAACGAGACAAAAGCCAAGAAGGGAGGAGAAGAGGTAGGAGTGAACTCCCACCACTTGCTGAGGATACACTGGCATCTGAGAGCCGCTGGGAAGAGGGGGAGTCACTCTTCTTCAGCAGTAGGACCCCTGGGACACTGGCCACACTCCAAGGCAGGCCCCACCAAGAGTAGTTGAGCAACACATACCAAATAAAAAAAAGAGAGAGAGAGAATAAAAGGAAGAAAGGAAGAAAGGAAGAAAGGAAGAAAGGAAGAAAGGAAGAAAGAAAGAAAGAAAGAAAGAAAGAAAGAAAGAAAGAAAGAAAAACTCAAAGTTGGGTGGTTAAAGAGGTGAGGGTAGGTCTGAGAGGAACTGGAGAAGGGATAAATATTATCAAATGTACATTGTATGAAATTCTCATATAATTAATAAAAATAGTACTCAAAAATAAAACCTACAAAATTGTTCAACCTAAACACATTCCACATGAATAATGTAGATTGCTCAGATCAAGTAAAACAATTAATGGAAATCATTTTTGAGTGTGAAACTCTAACGTACACGCTGGAGAATATCCTGAAGATAATATTGTAAGATCTTTGTTGTGGTATAATCTCTATGTACATTGTGAAGATGTGTCTTTGCCAAGGAGCCTTCTGATTGGTTTAATAAAGAGCTGAATGGCCAATAACTAGGCAGGAGGAGGTTAGGTGGGACTTCCAGGAGAGAGAGGAACTCGGGGGAAGAACTCTAGGTGCAGGAGGTACCAGCAAGACACAGAGGAAGTTGGACACACAGAATGAAGGAGAAGTAAAACGTCATGTGGCAGAATGTTGATTACTACAAACAGGTTAGTTTAAGTTGTAAGAGACAGTGGAACAAGCCTAAGCTAAGGCCAAACTTCATAATTAATAATTAATTATTAGCAATAATTAATAATGTCATTATTTGAAGGCTGGCAGACCTGACAAGAATGTCTGACTACAGATCTTGAACTTTAGCTAAGGTAAATGTGTTGCTATCATTGTTATTGATAAAGGAACATTGAACACTGCCTTGTGCACCCTCGGATGTCAAACAGACAAATACAATGATGCCCCAGGTTTGTTAGCTTTTTAAGATACAGAACAGAGGACAAAGCAACCCCTGTGATCCTAGATTAGGTGATGGGAAATATTGTATTCCTTAGCTTTGAACCCTGAAAGAACCCAGTACAACGGCCTTTGCTGTGGCACACTACAGTGAGAATACAGCTGACAGAATCACTAGCTAACGCTCAACTTGCAAAGCTTTGGGAATATCTGCCTTTTGAATAGTCACTGTCATTTCTGTAAAACTCTTGTGAAGCCATAGTGCTCCCTTTTCTATAGTGGGACTCATCCCCCCCAAAAAAAAAAAACCCTTAGCAGTGTATTAATCAACTATTGGGCACAACTCCCTAATGAACTGTTATATTGAATGACTTGGATGACATTTCATTTGGCTGTAAAATTTTGATATATAGACTATATACTGGGTGCCTTGAAAAAGGACCCAGAGGAAGGAAATTCTTCTCCCTCCGTTGTCAGTGAGAAAGAAGATACTGCTTGGCCTAGAGGCTGGAAATGCCAGGCTCTGGAGTTTACACTACCACAGCTTTTCCCTTTGATCTAGCCACATTATCTCTGGGGCTAAGAGATTCCCTTTAATCTGCTAGCATTTGGAGAAAATACCAATGTGTATCAAGTGCCATCCATTTTCCTCCCACAGTTTATGCTGGTTGCCATGGCTGCAACAAATGCTGCATTCCCAGCCGCCATGGGAAGAGAAATGCTTAGAGAGTGCACAGCAAGGCCGCGTTTTTTTCTTCCCTTTTCCCTACATTTATCAATTACACACCTCTAGCTTAACTAATCACACAAATGTAGTTAGCGCATAAACTCCCTCTCCCCGTCTTAGAAATCATAGCTCCGTACTCGATTTATCCTTTACAGATCTGCCCAGGTCCTTCACAATCACGCCCCCTCAGAGACCTACGTAAGCTAACAGGCACCTGCTTTGTCAGCCTTGTCTGTCTTTTCGGACTCTGAAACGCATGGCTGGTCTCCTTATTCCGTGTGAGGCACAGCGCTCACCATTCCCTCCTAGAGGACCCCACCCTTACTAAATGGCCAGAACCTCTGTCTTACCCCTCCAAGCTTCATGAACTATGAGAAAATAAAATTTTTGTTCTCTCTAAGTTATGTGCTCACAAGTATTCTGCTGCAGCAGGCACAAAAGCAAACATCACTGAAGTAAGGGAAATGTGAATAATGATGTATGTTAAATTTGATACTAAAATTGCATCCGTTTTAGATTTCTCAAGTGTTGTAACTATGACTGAAGAATATTCTTGTATTTGAGTGATATGTACTGAGATGGCACGGAGCAAAAGTATCATAATGTTACAACTATCTCTCAAACGATTCAGTATCGCTTCTTCCATAAATAATTTCCAATGGGACTCAGAAAGTGAACCTCTCCTCCTAAAAACAACATATGAGCCAGTCTAGCTTCCTGACAGAGTTCTTATCTACTATGTAGAGGACCCTGGTTTTGAGCAGAGCCCAGCCAAGAGAAGTAAATAGCAAATAGACTGCTGTTTTCAAAACATAGATGATGGGCAGAACCACTATCAACAGTTAGGTCTGATGCAACATGGAAAACTGTGATCATAATTCTGACACATGCTTGAAGGTAGCCTCGGAGGATGTTGTGGTTGATGGGTTAGGTCTGTCCTGGTATCCGTTTAATCCCTATTACTGTCTGGGTCATCACACCAGTGTAAAACAGATGAGGAGGTAAGCGCTGGTCCAGAGGGTAGATAGGATAGATGGGGGTCTAGTCTGACCTTAGATGGCTGACCTCTCTGCCTCTTGAGATCATGACTAGACCTGATTTCCTAGTACAATGTTAATATTACGATGAAACAAAAATCAAGGGTGGGATGCACACCCATGTGCCCTAAGCCTTGAAGAAGCTCTGGCTACGACTCAGACCACTCGTGCGGTGGGAAACAGCTACGGACAGGAGCTTGTTAGTGTCATCAATAATGAGTTCAAGAGGGAAGTTGTTTTAATGAAAACCTAGTTTATTAGAAGGAAATTCTATTACAGGTATTGAAACCGCAATTTCAAATAAGTAGATATGAGATAAAGAAATAGAAAGGGCGATCACAGAGACCGTGTTTGAAATGAGCATTCACATTACCAATGTCCATGATGAAAAAAAAATCTGCATGATGGAGAAATTCATACTTTAAAATGTACACAAGGGGCTGTGGAGATGCTGAGTAAGTGAGAATTCTAATCTGCAGTTATGAGGACCCAAGTTTGAATCCCCAGAATCCATGTAAAAATGTAATGGACACAGCTGTGTACCCCTGCCACCCCATCACTGTGGGCTGAGAAGACAGGAGAATCCTAAGAGTTCTCTGGCCAGCCAGTCTACCTGGAGCAGTGAACTTGTGTCTCAGTAAGTGACCCTGTGTGATGGCTATTCTTGGTCATCAACTTGACTACATCTGGGATGAACTACAATCCAGAAATGGAGGACACACCTGTGAGAGACTCTTCACTTGGTTTGAGGTGGGGAATTCCACTTCTGGTCCCAACCTTTGAAGTAGGAAGACACACACCTTTCATCTGGATCTTGAGGCAGAAAGACACAGCTTTAATCTGGGTCACACCTTCTGCTGGAAGCCTATGTGAGGACAAGGAAGAAGGAAGTTTTAGTTCTTTGCTTGCCCTCACCTTGCTCCCAAGTCCATGCCTTCCTTCACTAGCATTAGAACCTACTTATCCAGGATTCCAGTGTCTCCTGAAGACCAGCTGAGACATCCAGTCTCAGGGACTGAGCAAGCTCTGGATTCTTGGACTTTCCATTCGAAGTTAACCACTGTTGGACTAGTTGGACCACAACTTCTAAGTCATTCTAATAAATCCTCTTCCTAAAATATATATATGAGAGAGAGAAAGAGTTCATCCTGTAAGTTCTGCTACTCTAGAGAACCCTGGCTAATACATCTTGTGTCAAGGTGGAGGTAGAGAGCAATAGAGAAAGACACATGACATCTTGGGCTGGCCTCTGTGTACCCACACTCAGTCATGTGCACCGTATGTTCATATGCATGTAACACAAAAACATTTCAAGAAAACTTTTTAGAAACAGAGATGGGAGACTAGCAATATTTCTTTAAGACAAGGTCTCACTGTGTAGTCCAGATGGCAGGCATAGATTCACTTTGTAGACTAGGCTTGGCATTAACTCACAGAGATCCACCTGCCTCTGCCTCCCAAGAGCTAAGTGGCACCACCACATGCTGCTAGAAATTTAATTTTAATATAAAAGATTTTGTATAAAATTGAATTCAGTTAAAAGAATAGTTGTAAAATTAGTTGAAGTCCTACATGTCAGAATTCATGGCGCACATCTAAAGTAATAACACAATAAAAAGAGGAATTAGTAACTCCAAACACAAATCTGAACAAATAAAGAAATTAAATTAAACTTTCATCTGAAAGAGATGGGAAATACGGAACAAGTTTTATATTAGCACATGCTTATTGTTTTAATATGGTTTACCTCCCCTAAAGAGGAGTTTAATTCCCAATGTGAGTATCTTAGGGTGTTTAATTGCTGTGAAGAGACACCATGACCACACATCTTAAAAGGAAAACATTTAATTGGGGTGACTCATTTACATTTTCAGGGGTTCAGTCCATTATCATCATGGCAGGGAACAAGGTAGCAGGCAGACAGACATGGTGCTGGCTACACCTTGATCAGAAGGCAACGGGAAATCAACTCTGACACTGGGAATAACTTGAGTGTAGGAGAACTTTAAGCCCATGTCAACAGTGACACACTTCCTCCAACATGACCACACCTACTCCAACAAGGCCTCCTAATAGTGCCACTCCCTATGAGCTTATGGGGGCCAGTTACATTCAAACTCCCACATATGAGGTTTTAAGGAGGAGGCAGAAATAACTCAACAATGGTATGTAGAGACGGACCCTTTAGCATAAGACAAAGTCATCGGAGTGGGATTCCAGATTGAGTCCTGATGGTTTTATGAGAATAGGGAAGAGACAAGAAGACTCAGAAGTGCAATCTCTGTTTCCTGGGATGTGACGATGCCCTGAGCCACACTGAGACTCTGCCAGCAAAAAGGTCATCACCCTGAATGACTCTGTACACTTTGACCGGCACTGTGACCCAAAATAAACCTCCTCCTTTCACAATTGACCCCATCTGAGGTATTACGTAACTGGCAACAAAACAAACTTGAAAATACTTAAATAAAAGAAAGGTCAAGTAAAGACAGGCAGACAGACAGATAGATAGATAAATGGATGAATAGATAGGTAGGTAGATAGATAGATAGATAGATAGATAGATAGATAGATAGATAGATAG